TGATACATGGTCCATGTGTGGCCCCCATGGATTCTGATTTGAGTATTCAGCCCGGACTGATTACGTCAACAGATGTGTATCGTAGGACAGACATGCATCACGACTACATGACATCATTATTGCATTTTGCATCGCATTTGCCTTATCTTTGTCTGTGATGTGTGGATTGTATCGGTTTACCCTTCTTATGTGGAATTTGATCTACTTGCTCTTATTTGTTGATCTGAGGTTGATGAGGATATACTGTTGGTTCTGGCTGTTGAATATGATCTGTTTAGTATAGGTTGGTTGGTTTGCTGCTAGTTTGAAGTTTCGGTGGTTCGGTTGGGATTGAAAGGAGTTGGTTGTAGCTGCTAGTTTTGCTTAGTTTAGAGTTACTTGCGAGTACCTGTGGTTTTCGGTACTCACCCTTGCTTCTACACAATTGTGTAGGTTGACAGCTCTCTCAGATTCGGCTTAGTATTTTCTTTAGCAGATTGAGCTTCGGGACATACTCGAGAGGTAGCGGTTCATTCCAGACGTGCCCTTGAGTTATCTTTACTTTCAGTTTTGTTCTATTCGAGAACTATACTCTGAGACTTGTATATTTTTATTCGAATTCTGTATTTAGAGGTTTGTACATGTGACAACCAAAATTTGGGTAGTGTTGAGTCTTAATTAAAGTCTTCCGCTTATTTATTATCTTTTATTCTCGTATTTCTACTTCTCTATCGTTGTGGTTGGGTTAGGCTGACGTGTCCGGTGGGAAATGGACACGTGCCATCACATCCGGATTTGGGGTGTGACAATAAATCAAAAAGTATACATATATATATATATATATAACTTTTTCCTGTTTATTTACTCTATTTTTTACTAAATAAAATAATAATGGTTCCATTTATCTCAAAATAAAGAGTACTCCACTCGCCATTATATCTGCCAACACGAGTACTTGACATTTTCAATAAGTTTTATCTAATAAATATTTGTATTCATAACCGACTTTTTATGTACTCTATAATTACAATATTTAATATGTATTAACCTCTCACAACAACAAATAATAATGTGTTGTGACATATTAAAAAAACTTTTATCCAGTTAAATACTTGATATATTAAAATATTACATAATTAAAATTGTTCAAGTGTACTTTTAAAATTCATTTGATAGCAATATTTCAGTATGATGTACCTTGAAATGATAATAATATTGATTGAATAGGTTCACCATTCATTGATTTGAGCTTGTATATTTTCTCTTCAACTACTATGCAAGTTATCGCACAATGATCATTTATACTAACCATCTTAAGGAAGACATGAATTGATCAAATTTCTATTTAATTTTTGTAAAATACTACTTTAATTCGACAACACGTACTTCTTAATATGTATGCAAATGTGGAAAGGTGGAGACTACAATTTCTTAAAAAGAAGAAAAATATAAGACAAGAAATATTTTGAAATCACAATTGACATTTAAATTGTGAGTTATGACATATTAAACAAAAGAAACTTTATCAAATTGAATACTTGATATATTATAAGAATTGCATAATTGAAGTTATTGGTTTGAGCTTGTATATTTCTCTTCAATTTTTGTGCACAACTTATCACACACTTATTATAATATTTTCAAAGTTCTTGTACTAATAGCATGAGATACACTAACAACATACATGTTAGAGTATGTATATATATATATATATATATATATATATATATATATCGCTATAACAACTCCACACAACTTAGCATGGGACACACGTGCAATGCACGTGTCCGGGACTAGTTTAAGAAAAAGGAACAACGGATAGTTGAAGTAAAAAACTCACGAAAAAATAATAAATAAGGTGTGCTTTGACCATTCATGAATTTAACATTTTACATAATGAAAAAACTCAAATATACCATCAAACTATAAAAAATGATCCATCCATATTATTCGTGATAAATTGGACTCACGTATATCACTATCGTTACAGCGTTACCCAATGTGTCCATTCATGCCACTATGTATTAACAAAATATATAACGGATTTACAAATACTAGGTAATTTACCCTCACTTCGCGCGGGCATAAATAATCTTTCTAAGCTTTAGAACAACCTTTCCAATAATTGATTATTATAAGAAAGAAGAAAAAAAGTAACTTTTAGAAGGTTTTAAGAACATTTCAACAGAAATTTAATGATTTGACATTATCACATATCTCAATAATTGTAAATATATAATGAATGATTGAAAGTATCTTGATATCTAATTATTTTTATCTTTTACATAATTGATCATAATATATGTTTGCTAATATAATTATCTTGTTAAAATTGAGTGATATTTTTATGTAGCAATGAAGCATCCCTTTTTTCTATTTTTTTGTAATGAAAAATATAGAATCTGATAATTTTATGGTTAGAAGACCATTAAAAAATGTACACCATAACAACATAAATAATTTTTTTTAGAGAAAGTCTACTTGTCTGAGGTCAAACGTTCAACACTTTTCATTATTGTTACTTTGTTGCTCTAACAAAATTTATTGAAGGAGAAAAATAAATTTGAAACAACAGCAAAATAATATTGTTGATCCTTTTAGAAATACATTCTTCATTAAACTGCTGCTCTGAAGGCCCTTCTAAATGTTTCATCAATGCAACTTTATGACTTTTTCAAAAATATGTATGTATAATTGTTGCATTACGAAAGTACAAGTAGATCAAAATGTTGGATTCTAGACTCATGTTAAAGAAATATTCTTGAACATGAAAAAATTAAAAATGGGTCTAACCTAGAAAACTCAAATGTTCAACAATGACTTGGGACATGAAGGCCAAAAAATCTATGTTAATAGACATATATTTTGTAGCTTCAGATATTAATTTTATTTATAGTAGGTTTTCTTTCATTTTTTTCAAATTAAGCTTGCCGAAAATAGTCATAACTCACACAAAAAATATTTAGAAGAGTCGAATGAGAAGGAAAAAAGAAAAACATTAAAAGGATGAACTTTGTCAAAGTGAGATCATATACAACACTTCAATCAATTTTCAATCCTTAAAGTACGCATAATACCCACTGATAAAATTTAGTAAAAATAGATAACTTACAATATAAAAGCCAAAAAATATGGGCATGCAAAGTTATTAACTCTCAAATGTTTTTTTAATGAACAAAACATCTTATCCTTATATGTGAAGGAATGACGTTGTTGATGAAGAAATTAGAGATTTTTTAATTGTACCTTCAACAATTCTAGTAGAGAAAACTTGCCCGAATAGTCAATTAACATTTGTTATTTAATCTGCACTAATAAATACTTATAACAATAACTTTGCAGAAACATAAACAACAAAGTTTAAAGGATGTACTCAAAAACAACAATTAATAATATAAGCATAAATTAATGACTGTAAAAAGTATACTAGGATCTGTATCAATAGAATGAAACAGAATAAAAAAATCGACCTCACAGTGTCCCCTTAAGGGAATTATTCCCCTTTAATACCCGAGGTTTAAGGGAATAGATCATTTCAGGATAGAACAATCTTATTCACCAGTATATTGATACAAAACCAATGGTGTCAGTGAGCCACTCAACAGGAGCAAAGTACACAAAATATTTAACTGTCCAAAAGAAGAAGAAGAAGTTCAAATTTTTCGTTGTTTTATAATGAGAGAAAATTCCTCTATTTATAGATAACAAAGGGTAGTGTGAACAAATGTTTATTGTGCCTTATCGGAAATGTCACAACCTTTTATAAAAGTCACAACTTTTCATAAAAATCGCAACTTTTCCTAAAAGTCACAACTTTTTTAAATTTTTTTTTTTTCAAATTTGATCATTGATGATGGCAAAAATTACAGCTTTGAGTTTGGCATCCCAAACTTTTACATGATCAAAGTGTAGTGGTACTATAGACAAGCTCTACTAATACGTAACACCAAAAAAAGTCCAAGTTATTGTGGAGTTTAACTGAACTTGATATGTTGAGCTTAAGCTATGGAGGCTCGTAGACCAGATAAGAAGGCTTTACTGGTTTCATTCTAAAAGTCATAACTTTTCATGAAAGAGGAAGACTAGTTTTGGAAATAAAATAAATTAAAAGGGAATCCTGATTTGTGGTGGCGCCACGTAGGTGGGCCTAGGGTTCTCTTTTATATAAACATATGATCAGAATTAGACACATAACCTCCTATTAAAGGTCCACGTCACTCACCACTCCCACCAAATAAAAACCCAACCCAATTAAATCAACCCGCCCCAAAATTAAACCCGACCCACTTCGCATTTAACTCAAAACCAGTCAGCCCACTTTGTCTTCTTCACTGCTCCGGCGAAGAGCTTCTAGCTGCGGTGAACCGGAGCAACTAGCAGCACAACACTCGTTAATGGGGTCGTGGATCATGTTCTTTTTAGGTTGGTGCTAACTTTTTTCTACTTGATTTTGTGCATACTCTTTTTTTGTATATAAATTTGTTTGATAATTGCTCTTGTTCAGTAAAATACCCCAAATTGAACTTGTTTCTGCTGTTAACTTAAAGTTAGCAAGGTTGAAGATGAATATTTTATAGAGTTTGAGTAAATTACACGGAAAATGTATTGGTTGGAAATGTTTATGAAAAATTTAGTTTAATTAAGGAAAGGACAAATCTCTTTCACTTTTTTCTTTCTCACTGACTTTCCCACTTCCTGTTATTAAAGTTGGGGTGGGTGTGGCTCAAGATGGATTCAATAATTCACATTCTACTTTAATTGTTCTCTTTATATGACATACATTCCCTTTTTTAATTAATTACATATGTTGATGATTCTTCTTTTCCAAAAAAAATAATAATTGATTCTTTTGTTTGAAGTCAAGTTGTAACATAATTTACAATTTCAAAATATACTTTTTTCATCCATAAATTAGTTTAAGGAGAGGACCATCTGATATGATTCACTATCTTTCATTTTCTTTCTATTACCACTGTTACAATTTGTGTTTCCTTTTTCCTTTCAGACGTTTAATTGAATCCATGTCATCTTCTTCCTCTTTTACGAGTAATTCACAGTACTGTCCTCGATGGAAGTATGATGTCTTTCTTAGTTTTAGAGGTGCAGACACTCGGAGAACATTTATGGGTCACTTGTACGAAGGTTTGAAAAACAGGGGGATATTCACTTTTCAAGATGATAAAAGGCTGGAGCATGGAGATTCCATCTCAGAAGAACTCGTGAAAGCTATAGAAGAGTCTCAAGTTGCCCTTGTTGTTTTCTCAAAGAATTATGCTACGTCAGGGTGGTGCTTGAATGAACTAGTGAAGATTATGGATTGCAAGACTCAATATGGACAAACAGTCATACCGATCTTCTATGATGTGGATCCATCACATGTTCGATACCAAAGTGAGAGCTTTGCAGAAGCATTTGCCAAACATGAATCGAGGTATAAGGATGATGTTGAAGGAATGCACAAGGTGAAAAGATGGAGGATTGCTCTAAGTGATGCCGCAGATCTAAAAGGTTGTGATATCCGCCAAGGGTGAGTAAACAATTTATTATATCTCTATTTTAGACATCAAAAATGTTTTATTTTATAATTTCTGGAAAATAGAAAGACAGTTGATTTACATTCATTTATCATCCAGAAGATATTGTAGTTCTTATCACTTCAACAAAATTACTTAATAACTTCTTATTTGTGTAGGATCGAATCAGAGAATATTCAGCAGATTGTCAACCAAATATCTTCCAAATTATGTAAGATTTCTTTATCTTATTTACAAGATATTGTGGGAATAGATACTCATTTAGAGAAAGTAAATTCCCTACTAAAGATGGAAATCAATGATGTTCGGATTGTGGGAATCTGGGGAATGGGGGGAGTCGGTAAAACGACAATAGTAAGAGCAATTTTTGATATGCTCTCACCTCAATTTGATGGTGCTTGTTTCCTTGCGGATATCAAAGAAACTAAAGAAATGCACTCTCTGCAAAATATCCTTCTCTCTGAACTGCTAAGGAAAAAAGAAGAATATGTGAATAATAAGGTGGATGGGAAGCACTTGATGGCTCGTAGACTTCGTTTTAAGAAGGTCTTAGTTGTGCTTGATGACATAAATCACAGAGACCATTTGGATAACCTAGCAGGGGACCTTGATTGGTTTGGCAAAGGCAGTAGGATTATTGCAACCACAAGGGACAAACATTTGATAGGGAAGAATGATGTAGTATATGAAGTGACTACACTAGTTGATCATCAAGCTATTCAATTGTTCAATCAACATGCTTTCAAGGACGAAGTTCCAGACAAGTCATTTGAGAAGCTAACGTTGGAGGTGGTAGGTCATGCGAATGGACTTCCTTTAGCCCTAAAAGTGTGGGGTTCTTTCTTACACAATAGGGACATAACTGCATGGAGAAGTGCTATAGAGCAAATGAAAATGAACTCTAAATCAGAAATCGTTGAAAAGCTCAAAATTAGCTATGATGGACTGGAGACCATACAACGAGATGTATTTCTACATATAGCATGCTTCTTACGAGGGCAAACAAAAGAGTACATCATGCAAATTCTTGAGAGTTGTTATGCTGGAGCAGGTATTGAATTGAGCGTCCTTATTGACAAATCTCTTGTGTTCATCTCTGACGATGATACAATTCAAATGCATGACTTAATACAAGATATGGGTAAATATATAGTAAAACTGCAACAGGATGATCCCAGTGAATATAGCAGACTATGGGATCCTAATGATTTCGAAGAAGTGATGGTGAACAATACAGTAAGTAGACTAAACAATGCAATAATATTCAATTTATGGTTTTCATATACCAATATTCATTTACCTTATGTTATTATATCATGAATTAGTCTAGTAGCCGCTTAAATATTTAATCCAACTTTCATTCTTTGGATTAATTTGAAATTTGTACGATATTTTGTACATAATAACTCAATCAGTAAAAGTATAAGTTAATATTATCTAGCTTTTTATCCTTAGTAACCTTTTAATGATGAATATCCTCAAACGGAAAAATACAAAATATTTTTAGTGGTGCTAGCTCTTTAATTAAGAACTTCAAGTGCAATAATAATTAGTAATATAAAACATGACAAAATTTGGCATTGCAGGGAGTGAGAAAGTAGTCCTACTAGCATTAGATGTTTTTCTTTATAGACTAATGATCCTTTTATCAGGGAACCAAGGCAACGGAAGCAATCTGGTTACACGGAATTCAACATCTATGCTTTAGCAAAAAAGCCATGAAAAATATGAAAAGGCTTAAAATATTACGAATTGGGAATTTTCGTACAAATGATGACTCTATTGAGTACCTGCCCAACAGCTTGCATTGGTTTGATTGTGATGGATATCCTTGGGAATCATTGCCAAAAACTTTTGAACCCAAAAGACTTGTTCATCTTAGGCTTTCGTGGAGTTGGTTGAGTCATTTATGGACTGAAATAAAGGTACAATAGTTGACCTTCAATTTTAGTCAAACATATCCCTTTTGGAAGCTAATTTTTCATTTTGTTTTTCTTTACAATCATGTGCCTGAAATTATACCTTTTAGTTAAAATTATACTTTTATTTAGTTTCTGAACACATAATTTCAATGTGGTTACTCATTTTTGGTTAAGGGAGTAATTAAACACAAGATATTATACTGCTCAGGTTTGCCTATCTCATTTCTGTGTTCTGAATACATAACAGCATTTGCCATCTCTACGGACGCTAGATCTTAGCTATTCTTATAACCTTATGCGAACACCAGATTTCACTGGGATGCCAAATTTGGAGGATTTGGATCTGATGGAATGTACGAGTCTTGAAGAGGTTCACCATTCCCTGGAGTATTGCGGAAAACTCATTCGATTAAATTTGAACGAGTGTGTAAGCCTTGTGAAGTTTCCATGTGTTAACATGGAATCTCTTGAATATCTGGATCTAGATAGTTGCTCTGGTTTAGAGAAATTTCCAGATATCGTTGGAAGAATGAAGCTGGAGTTAGATAAGCACCAAACTCAGAGTACCGTGCTGTATTTGACTGGTTTAAAAAGCCTTGTAGCTCTTCCAAGCAGCATTTGTAAGTTCAAAGGTTTGGTGAAACTATATGTGTGGGGGTGCTCAAAACTTGAAAGTTTGCCAGAAGAGATAGGTGATTTAGAAAACTTGGAGGAGCTTGATGCCAAATGGACTCTAATTTCACGTCCTCCATCTTCCATCGTCCGCTTGAACAAGCTTAAATTATTGATATTCGCAAAACATAAATCAGAAGATGGAGTGTTCTTTGTATTCCCTCACGTGAATGAAGGGTTACGCTCATTGGAAATTCTGGATCTCAGTTACTGCAATTTAATAGATGGAGGACTTCCGGAAGACGTTGGATGCTTGCACTCATTGAAAGAGTTGACCCTCAGTGGAAATAATTTTGAGCATTTGCCTCGAAGCATTGCCCAACTTGGTTCTCTTCAAACCTTGGACTTATCACATTGCAACAGGCTTACACAGCTGCCAGAATTTCCACAACAATTAGATACAATAAATGCAGATTGGAGCAATGATTCTTTCTGTAATTCGTTGTTTCAGAATATCTCCTCATTGCAGCATGCCATCTGTGCTTCAGATTCCTTGTCACTAAGAGTGTTTATGAGTTGGGCGAAGAATATCCCAGGTTGGTTTCTCCATCAGGCAATGGGTGCAAGTGTATCAGTCGCATTGCCTGAGAATTGGTATGTATCAGATAACTTCTTGGGATTTTCTGTATGTTACTTGGGCAAATTAATTGACATCACAGCTCATTTGATTCCCTTATGTGATGATGGGATGTCGTCGATGACCCAGGAATTTTCCTTATCCAACCATTCAGAATATACTGATGAAGATACTATTCATTTTTTGTTGGTACCTCTTGGTGGCTTGTGGGATGCATCTAAAGCAAATGGAAAAACACCAAATGACTATGGGTGCATTAGGTTATATTCCCCTCAAGAAAGGAATGATTTTGGAGAAATAAATGATTTTGGAGAAATAAATGATTTTGGAGTTCGTTTGTTGTATAAAGATGAAGCTGAGCTTCACATTGGGATAAGGAGGAGCAGATATGAAGAGGCCAGTAGCTCCTCTTCTAAGAAACAAAGGTCACAAGTACAAGTGCCACTCTTGCCGCTCTTTCCCACAAGCTCGGGATTATAGATTAAATATAGGTATATACCTCATGAAATTGTGTTCTCTACTTTTGGGATACTGCCTATGAAGGGATGTTTTTCTGAGAAACAACTTGGGTATGCAAAAATTCACTCTTTTTATATTTCATTTCGAAATATAATCATGTTTTCCATTTTCTGACAAATAGATAAATTGCAGATGAATGGCAAGATAACTTAGTCAAAACAGGTGGATAAAAGAAGCTTCGGAATCCAATGTAGCTCCAACGCTCGAGCTCAAATAATTTCTCCCCAACCAACTAGTTCTACTGAAGAAGTGTAGTCTCCGTTGATATCTACTGTCAAATGTTACATGATGGAAGCAGGAGTTAAATACTGAAAATGGTCAATCCAGCATGCGGATGTAGTTCAGAGGATGGAGTTTAGAGCAACTCCAGTTTTTAAGGGAACAGAAGAGGTAGTCATAGGAGTTATTTTATGTTTGTTTGTAAAAGCTAACTAAGGTGGAAACAACAAGTGAGGTTTGCTGATAGGATACCATAAGAGAGAGGGAAACAAGTATGTGACGTTGGATTAGGCCACATAAATCCTTGTTGTGTGATTCAATCTAGTTCAGCAGCTCATAAGCTTTTATTATATGTTTTCTTTACTTGTATTTATGCTGTTTTTTATCTGACAAAATCAATGTATATGAAGGTCTTGAGATACGTTGGAGTTGTCGAGCTGCAAAGATACAATAAAGAGTGCACAACTCTCAGGTCGGGGTGATGAGGTGAAGTTGCAGTTAGTCCTTCTCTTATTTCCATGAGAGCATGCCTTTAAAGTTAAAGAGTTCCCAAATACAGAAAAACGTCGTATAACCAACAAGAGTCTTTGTATTAACTTGTCTATTACATGAGATAATTGACAGCATATCCACTTTATGTGGTAGAGATAACGATTCATGACGTTTTTGATTTCTTTCAAAACATTGAATGCTAGATTTTTAAGCCCTTTGCTCAAAAAGATGAAATGCACTACTACTTCATGTTAGACATGTTCTGATCGTTTTGGATTAGGAATATGCGATTACCTGTTGTCTTATTAACATCTATATTTTGATTACTTATAAGTGGTTGTAACAAGTTTTATTCTGGTTCTGGATTGCTTATACAGAGCAGACCGGGAAACAGAGAACAAAACCGGTGATTCTGCCTGTGAACAGAACAACTCGACTCTTGGGCCGAGAGAGAGATTCATGAAAGAACTTGGGTATGCAATAACCGATATAAATTTTGATGCTCTCTCAAAGAGGCAGCATGGAGTGAGACAGTGACTGAAGCTGGAGTAGCTAACAAGTTCTTATTATATATTTTATCTGACAAAAATTTATGTATATGAAGGTCTTGAATATCACTAGAGTCGTGGATGTTGTCAACAAAGAAGGGATTCATCGAGCTGCAACGATACAGTAAGGAGTACACAGCTCTCAGTATTTAATTACATTTAACTACTGAAATTTAAGGAGCTGTCTGTCTGTTGTCTAGCTTGTTGACTTCAATCTTTTTGAAAGCAATAAGTAACGTCTATGTTTTACTGTATGCAGTGCAAACTTGGAGTTTCGCGTAACACTGCATATGAAGGGCACATATTACCTCTGCCTGAGAAAGAGATTCGCAAAAGAACTTGTGTATGCAATAATCCGTTCTCTTATATATTAGTAAAGGTAACACGACACCTCTCTTACACCAGAATACCATCTTAGCATTTGCTAATGAGTTGCCTGTCCAAAATCCAATTGCAGATGAGCATTGGAACTATTAGTAAGTCGCCTCACATCACAAAGCTAACGGAGCAAAGGGAACTATTTCCAGGAATCAAACGTATTCCACTGGAGTCGGAGTTGGAGCTAGAGTTGTGTGAATTAGAATCAAAGTTGTCAAAAGAGATGAACATGCATAGCTTTTGCTTATCATAAACATTGAATTGTGATATTGAATTTTCTCTTCTTTTTTTTAATTATTCATCTTGCTGGCAAAAGGAACTAAATCACCTTTCGTTTTTTTTTTTAATAGCAAATTTACCGCTAGACAGAGTGTCTAGCAGTTTTTATTAAAAATAAAAAGATATTAATAAGAATAAGTACAAGTAAGGGAGGCTAGACATTACCTTACCAATCCTAATAAGATATTGCCTCAGATAAAATTTTTACTTGAAAAATCATATCAATTTTATTAATATCTATTAAAACTCGCTTTAGGATCAAAACATTTCTTAGTCGAAAATAATCTAAATAGAATGACATAAAATGAAACTTTATCTAACAAATTGGTGTCTGTACTTGTGGAGCAATAAATTCCATGGCTGAGTTAGGAGTTTAGCGAAGGGTGTTCAAATATTCTTCTCAATTATGCTAAGGGTGTAAAAAATTAAATATACACTAAAAAAATTAAATATACACTTATAATAACTAATATTTAATCTCTATATACCACATAAAAGGAAAGATATATTCTTTTTTATGCGGACTAAAAAACAAAAAAATAAAACAAAAAATTTGAAACAAAATGAGTATTTTCTATTTGAATTTTAAATAGAATTACAAGGTAACCAAATTTCTTCTTTTCTATTCATAATTGATTCTTTTCATGTTTTTGAAGAAGAAGCAAAATAGAATATTTGTTACTCTTTAGGTAAATTACCTTGTAATTCTCTTCCGAAAGAAAATTGTCTAGTGCTCCAACTTGCAATGTTGGTCATAAATAATGTCTACCAGACGCGTTCGAAAAAACCGAGTAATTTTGCAGCTTTCTTTGCAGCTTGACAACTTCCATTGTGTTCATATTACTTTGGACCACATAGCAATAATTCAATACAGTTGGAGTAGACCCCATCTTCCTGGAAACTTTTCATATTTGTTGTCCTATATATATATATAATAATTTTGCCCCAAATGTCATCAATTCTATCTATCCACACAATTTTTATCTTTCTTCTCAAATTTCAACAAATTAACCAAATCCATGGCATCTTCTTCTTCTTTTGCAAGTGATTCACAATACTGTCCTCGATGGAAGTACGATGTTTTTCTAAGTTTTAGAGGTGCCGATACACAGAGAACATTTACGGGTCACTTGTACGAAGGTTTGAAAAGCAGAGGAATATTCACCTTTCTAGATGATAAAAGGCTAGAGGATGGCGATTCCATCTCAGAAGAACTCTTGAAAGCTATTGAAGAGTCTCAAGTTGCACTCATTGTTTTCTCAAGAAATTATGCTACATCGAGGTGGTGCTTGAATGAAATAGTGAAGATCATGGAATGCAAGGGGGAAGAAAATAGACAAACAGTCATACCGATCTTCTATGATGTGGATCCATCACATGTTCGATACCAAAGTGAGAGCTTTGCAGAAGCATTTGCCAAACACGAATCGAGGTATAAGGATGATGTTGAGGGGATGCAGAAGGTGCAAGGATGGAGAACTGCTCTAACAGCTGCTGCAAATCTAAAAGGATATGATATTGGTGACGGGTGAGTTGAAAACACATAATATGTTTCTATTACCCCGAGTTACAATGTTTCCTATTTAATACGCTCCTGAACATTAAAAATATGAAAATACTTTCTAATACTTGACTTTCTCACATTGTCAACAATCAATCTCTTATTTACGTAGGATTGAATCAGAGAAAATTCAACAGATTGTCGATCACATCTCTTCGACATTTTGCAAGAGTGCTCGTTATTTATCTTATTTGCAAGATGTTGTGGGAATAAATGCTCATTTAGAGGAACTAAAATCCCTACTTCAAATAGAAACCAATAATGTTCGGACAGTAGGGATCTGGGGAATAGGCGGAGTTGGTAAAACGACGATAGCAAAAGCCATCTTTGATACTCTATGTCATCAATTTCAAGCAGCTTGTTTTCTTGTCGATGTTAAAGAAAATGCAAGAAAGAATCAACTGTATTCCTTACAAAATACCCTTCTCTCTGAACTGTTAAGAAAAAAAAGTGATTGCGTCAATAATAAGTATGATGGGAAGTGCGTGATTCCGAACAGACTTTCTTCAATGAAGGTGTTGATTGTGCTTGATAACACTGATGAAAGAGATCATTTGGAGTATTTAGCAGGTGTTGGTTGGTTCGGTAATGGCAGCAGAGTTATTGTAACAACTAGAAACAGACAATTGATAGAGAAGGATGCTGCAATATACGAAGTGCCTACGCTACCTGATGATGAAGCTATGCAATTGTTCAATCAACATGCTTTCAAAAAAGAAGTTCCAGATGAGTGTTTTAAGAAGTTCTCGTTGGAGGTAGTAAATCACGCTAAAGGCCTTCCTTTAGCCCTCAAGGTGTGGGGTTCTTTGCTGCACAAGAAAGGCCTAACTCGGTGGACAAGAACTGTAGACCAAATAAAGAGAAAGTCTAATTCAGAAATTGTTGAAAAACTCAAAATAAGTTATGATGGATTGGAGCCCGAAGAGCAAAAGATATTTCTAGATATCGCATGTTTCTTCTTAGGAGATGATAGAGAAGAAGTCATGCGAATTGTTGAGAGCTATGAATCTGGAGCTGAATTCATATTGGATGTCCTAATTGACAAATCCCTTGTGTTCATCTCTAAATATGAAAGAATTGAAATGCATGACTTGATTGAAGATATGGGCAAATACATAGTGAAAATGCAAAAAGATTCCGGAAAACCAGCTAGTAGAATATGGAATGTTGAAGATTTCGAAGATGTGATGATGGACAATATGGTAAGCTAAACAATGCAATAGTCATTTAAAATATTATATAAAAATTCATATTTCAAATATATGTTCCTCTAGCTTCATATACTGACGCACAATTCAATTAAGTTGTTTCAAATCCACACTACCTAGTTTGTTTATCTCATGTTAATAAGTTATGAATTACTGTTTTGTTTTATCATAGCATGAAAATCTTTTTACATTGAGTCTAATAAACTTCTCAAATTATTGTTTTGTTTTATCATAGCATGAATTGAGTCTAATAACGCAAAGCATTTCTCTTAAGCGACATATTTCTTAAGAAATACTTAACTAATATTGTACCTTAATCTTTTTTAACGGTACTTGCTCTTCAAGATCTTGAAGTGAATAAGTACAAAATATATCGAAAATTTGCACGCAAGGCGTAAGAAAGTAGTGATATTGATTAGCGGATTTTATACTGAAGTTATAATTTGTCTCATGATTTTTTTACTAGGGGACCATGGCAGTGGAAGCAATCTTCTTTACTTATTTTGGAAAACTAAGGTTTAATAAAGAGGCAATGAAAAATATGAAAATGCTTAGGATATTATGCATGTGTAATAAGGACGAAAAAAATAAGACGACCTACTCATTTTCATCGGACTCCAATTGCCATGATGACTCCATTGAGTACCTTTCCAACAACTTGCGTTGGTTTGTCTGGCATGATTATCCTTGGAAGTTATTGCCAGAAAATTTTAATCCCAGAAGGCTTGTTGATCTTGATCTCCAGCGGAGTTCATTGCATTATTTATGGAATGAAACAAAGGTATCATTCTATTTCAGATACTTTCTATTTTGTCTTGTCCTAGAATTATATATGATTCTTGTGTTTAAATAAAATAAATTGCATTTCCAACCTCTGCATCTAAAGACGAAACAAAAAGAAATATGTTGGCGCAACTTTTCTCATCGGCCATTGTTTTCATTACACTCACGCGCCTAAAAAGGTGTTTCACATTCTTTTCTACACCAACGTCCAGGGGTAAATGAGAACAGATAATCATAAGTTTTCATCAAATAGAACATGCTAAGATTAAGGTCTTCTTTTAAATATTTTACCTTTTATTTATAATAAAAAATAATAAAACATGAATTTTATCTAGTTTCTGAGCATGTAATTTCCATATAAAGTAAAATCAAACAATTTCTCATTTCACACGTTTGCTACTTTAGGATCATTCTTCATCATGCTTTCTGTGTTTTGAATAGCAGCAATTTCAGTCGCTACGAGGAATATATCTAAGCGGCTCTAAAAGCCTGAAGAGAACACCAGATTTTGAGGGGATGCCAAATTTGGAGTATTTGGATCTAAAGGAATGTACGAGTCTTGAAGAAGTTCATCATTCCCTCAAGTATTGCAAAAATCTCACTGAGTTAAATTTGTGGGGGTGTGAAAGCCTTGAGAGGTTTCCATATGTTAATGTGGAATCTCTTGAATCTTTGAATCTAGATTACTGCAGTAGTTTAGAGAAATTTCCAGAAATCCTCGGAATAATGAAGCCGGAGTTAAAGATTATTATGTCATGCTCTGGGATAAGGGAACTGCCATTATCTTACTTTGACCTCCAACCTCATCTTACAGAGCTAGATTTGAGGGGCATGGATGACCTTGTATCTCTTCTGAGCAGCATTTGTAAGTTGAAAGGTTTGGTGAGGCTATATGTGTCTGAGTGCTCAAAACTTGGAAGCTTGCCAGAAGAGATAGGTGAATTAGAAAACTTGGAGGAGCTTCATGCCTCATGGACTCTCATCTCACAACCTCCGTCCTCCATCGTCCGGTTGAACAGGCTTAAATCATTGACTTTTGAAAAAGATAAATCAGAAGATACAGCGAACTTTGTGTTCCCTCCGGTGAGTGAAGGGTTAGGCTCATTGGAACTACTGGATCTCAGTTACTGCAATCTAATAGATGGAGGACTTCCAGAAGACATTGGATCCTTATCCTCTTTGAAAGAGTTGCATCTCAGTGGAAATAAATTTGAGCATTTGCCTCGTAGCATAGCCCAACTTGGTGCTCTTGAATACTTGGACTTATCAGATTGCGAGAGACTTACACAGCTGCCAGAATTTCCACAGCAATTAGACACAATAGGTGCAGATTGGAGCAATGATTTGATCTGTAATATGTTGTTTCAGAATATCTCATTATTGCAGCATGACATCTCTGTTTCAGATTCCTTGTCACTAAGA